AAATTACACTAACTATTAGAGTGTAGTAATATGAATAAGTAATAGAAAAAAAATAATAAACAGGAAATATATGGTAACAATAACCAAAAATGATTTCCTACAAACTTAAGAAATCAAGAGACAAAAATAAGTGGTAGAAGAGATCATTTCTCAAGGCTGAAGATTTTGATAAGAGAAAAAAAAAACAGCAAAGATATAATTTTTCCTACTTGTAATTTTTATCAACATTCTCATATATTAATCGTGACATTATGAATCAATCGATAAATATACATGAAGATATTTCTGCATGACAGATACACATATTTTCTTTTATTATTTGTACTGATCTTGACATACAAATCTTGTTATTAAAGAAAAAGGACGAACATATTACGTAGATAGACTTCTTACTCAAACTCAGAAGATTATCTCTGATTAGTAACACACTTTTTCAGGACATTTTTTAATAAAAACAAACAAAGACATATTATTTCTGTCATTTTTTTTTTGTTCATCTGCTATATATTTTCTTTTCTTTTATTGACAGACTAGACATTCAATTCAATTAACAATATTAATAATGGATTAACATTGGAAATATAACATATGATGCAAAAATACTAACGTAATTATATTTTATTAATAGAAGTATTTTGTAAAAAGATTTTCTTTTTCACCTATTGACAGAAGATCTTCTCTTCTTTCAAACTTTATGTAACTAAGTTTAATCTCACAGTCATGAACTAAATGACATGAAAAGAAAGTGTGTTAACTACAAAATATGTTTACATTTCAGAGTTGTAGTCGGTCGAGAATTTTTGAATTGGTTTGATCTGATTGATTAATGGAACTGATTTCAAAAAACATTTATTTTTCTTTTTGCACTTAGCTTTTTATAAATCTTCAGGAAGAAATATCATATCTGTTAGATTTCTTCAAGATGAATACGTAATATTTCTATGTATGGCACGAAAAAAAGTCATTGACTTATCAATCGTGAATTTTTCTTTCTCAAACTTTTCAAACAAATCTAACGTCTTTCTTCGAATGGCGATTCAAACCTACATTCGATCTTTAACAAAACATATACGATAGAAATTAAGCTCAAGAAAAATAGTTTTGATAGTGCTTTTTAAAAAATAAAATAATGTGAATGAACAAAAGAAAATAAAACTAATAGATCTTAAAACAGCACTATTCATTATTTTGATAAGAGCATGCGAACTTACTTTCAGCAAGTTTTATCGGAGAAAAATGGCATATTTCTAAAATATTTTTCAATCAATGAAGACTGGTCAAATCGGTTGCTACTCTGTTTCACTTTTCCACACAGTGACAACACAATATATCGATTTCTATATCACTTTGATAAGTATCCACATGTCAATATAGATTTACCAAAAAGATTTTATACCATAACACTCGATTATATGTAACTATTATTTTACACCAGCATTTTGAATGGTTCATAAAAATTGTATTAACCACTGTCCTACAAGACGTTTTCGACACATATATAAAAAGCCTTTTAACTATTATCAGCAAGATCTTTTTTCATAAGTCTATATAAATATCGCAATTTTATTATGCGAATGTGCCGCTTTCTTCTCATATTATTTTGTTTCTGAATTTACGACAAAAATAAATTATCTTTCCAAAATATCTTCATCAATAAGATATAATGATCAACATTTACTGCCATTACTTTTGTATCTTATTTCATTAAAAGTATCTAACGAAATTAATAAAACATCAATTGTACACAATTAATGATTTTGACTTTTCTTGCATGGAACGATTGTAACAGTTCCAATCAAATCAGATAAATGACTACGACCAGTTATACCTGGGTCATTGTTACTTTGTCCTTGAATTCTACTCGATTTATTTGTTGCTTGAACACTTCCTGTTGTTTCTACCATTCAAAAAAACCGCTATTTGTTCAATGTAACCTATAAAGGTTTGTAGTATTGTTTCTATTATATGCAAAGATCTGTAGCTTGTTCTGCTTGATTTGATAAAAGATCACATCGATTACTAGATCTAATCTATGGGATGAAAGTTTGTAAACTAAGAAAAATTTATCTCAAGGTTTACGAATGTATAATATTTATAGGCAACTATCTGTTCGGAAAAAATACGATAATGAGAGATATTCTATAAAATAATAGAACTCATAAAAAATTACTCCTTTAAGTTTTCCTTTCATGTTTCGTAATCAGATATATTTCAAAGAATTGTTATCAAAACGATAACTAAATCAATAAATAATATACGGTGTAAAAGTCTTTGGAAAATGCCCAACACTATAATACCATATTGCTGACTTCCAAACCAATCAAATTTTTTTTGTTAGAAAGAGCTATGTTTCCAGCATAAATCTAATTATAAGAGAAGCAGCTCAAAACCAAACACATCTAAAAGAAGCTGTCAGTGCAATTTCTGTGAAATTAAAACGCTAAACACGACGTAGTTGCTATTACTAATCAAAGGGAGAATGCAGGTGTTCTCTTCAATTATATATACACCCACATTCCCTGGGTATCGGCCACGGTCTGTGGGAGAAAGAAGGGGAAGTGGGTTCGAATGTGTACCCTCTATACTTCAATAATTCTTTCAGATCATGTTTCAAAAAAGTTCTTCCAATGTTTTTTTTTCCAATTTGAAAAGTCTATATCTATCGCCATCAGCTTTTAGCAAAATTTTTAGATTTATTGTTGAATCTTTAATCAGAAAGTTTGAAAAATGAAATTTTTATAAAATACAATTCTTTCCAGGAAATATCAATTTGCAAGAATATCAGCAACAATCTCTAGAAATTATGCATGAACTGAATTCTTTTTTTTTACGGTATTTATTCGAAATATTTCAGATTATAGAAATTTAGCAGAAAAAATAATTAAAAAATATTTGTTTTTTACCTTTGCAAAACGGCCAGATAGAAAGAACGATCAATTTACTTGGTCTTGTTTTTTAGAAAAAAGTTATTATTATGGTATAAAAACCAAGAGTAAATTTAATTTCCCATACGCCATAGAAAAGAACACTCTTTACGCTACAAAACTCAGCATTACATGTGTTTTTTTAATTTCCCATTTAATTTTAAAAAACCTAACAGAGAATATAAAATGCTGTTGCTCGATAGTGAAGTTTCAAGAACTTTTTTCGGGGGTGTATAATTTTGAGCTTTTCTTCATTGTCAGGTTCGTTCTGGAAAAGTATATCTGATACAAAATTTGTAGTTCAGACACATTGCTCTTTCTAACAAGAAAAATATTTGATTGGCTTAAAAATTCTCAATATGATATTATGAAGTTTCACACTTTTTCAAAGACTTTTGCATCGCATATTAATTTCTATTAAGTCGTTCAGCTGTGCTTTATTCAAGAAATATGGTATATTCTTATTGTTGACATGCATATTTTAAAAAAAAAAGAACACTGTAATTTTGGTTGATTTTATTGATACAGAAAATTATTCTGCAAATATAATAGTACCTAATTTAATGTACATGACAAAATACAAAAATAGATTAAAAGAAATAGAAATTAAGAACTATTATAATGTCAATATTGTTCTGATAATATCATTGGTACAGAATAACGTGAACCAAGTGTATCAATTTGTTGTCTTTTGACATCATCTACTCCATTTCGAAGTGAATAAACATTTTTTCCAATGAAAAATTCTTTACAAGCTCGAACAAATTCATCTCGAAAAGATTTTGTTGTTAATGTATATAAATAAAATGAAAATCCAGGATTCATAAATGCAATTAAAAGTGTGATAGCATTGCAAAGTTTATCTTTTTCCGATGGTATTGCATCGTCAAATGTATAATAAATAAACTTATTAACTGTATATGGTATTGTGAAAATTACATTTGAAAAACTATGTGCAATAACAAGAACAATAAAATGATATTCACGACGAGATACCATTGGATGAATCAGTTTTTTAATACATCTTATATGTTTAACGGTTGCTATATTAAATATGACCATTAATAATGGTGGGCATATAGCATAGAAAACAAGAAAATAAACATCAAATAAGATTCTGTAAATACCCATTCGAGCATAACAGTCATTATCAACAATTTCAAAAAGTATTGGAATGTGTATATTAACAAGTAGACAAAAAATGATGGTTACAATAATAATAATATATGTCGTTCGACGTTCACATAAAGTTATATAACGATGACGATTTTCTGTTAATTGTGCTTGACGAACACGAGCATAACGATTAATTGATGCCATAGTTAATAAAACTGATGATAAAAGATAATTAACATGTGTAAAATATCGACGAATTTTACAATAAGGCACTAGTCTATATTCTAAATCTAGATTAAAACCAAGAGTTAATGACCAGATAAATAAGCCAACAGTAAGATTCATAAAATTATTTATTGAATAAGCTATAAAATAAATTGAACATGAATTTGAACGAAATTTTTTTCGACAAAATACTATTAAATTAAATATACTTCCAATAATACCAATAACAAAAACAATTAAATAAAGATAACGACAAATAATATAAATACGTATAAATTTTATTTTATCATCAGTTGCTATACTTGTATTCGTCATCTTTATTCGTTAGAATTGATATTCATATATAAGAATTTTTATTGTAAGTGCTGACATAACAAAAAGAAAAATGGATCATTCGAAAACGATCTTTGACTCTTTTTTTCTCTCTCTCTGTTCCTTTTTTTTCTGTCAATGAATGAAAATAAAAGTCACAAAATAAATTTTCTATTAAGATAAAGAATGATGAAGTATTTGTCTACAGGTAAATATGAGATTCTGTTATCCTATGTTCAGTGACGAATGTTTTTCTTTTTTTTTTTATAAATAATATATACGAGAATTTTTTCTCGATGAATAATATAAGATAAACGATCAAGATTGTATAATATATCAATACAATAATAGAAAAAAAATATGCTGAAATAAATTTATTATAAGAAACATCATTTGAAATAAAATGAAAAGTATTAAGAAGAATTAAACTGGAATTACTTCTGCCAAACCAGTCAATTGAATATTGTGTATATTAGGACAATTGTATCTTACAATGCTCACACCTTCAGCTTTGATATTACATTGATCTGTACCCGTTATCCATATAGTACCAAGTCCGTTAGCTTCAATATCGATAAATTTACAAAATAATTGAGATGCATCAACATTTCCAATACCATCATATTTAATTATTCCTTTATCTTTTACATGGCCCATTAATTTAGTCGTTCCGGCTGATAAAAAGAGAGCATCAATATTGAATATATCTAATTGAAGAATAAGACTACTTGTATCTAAAATGATTTTATTGTTTTTATAAAATTAAACTCAAAATATTGAAATTTTTATTTATCATCATACCTTGTGTATGTAATTTTAATAAATTATCAGTCTTCATTACATTTGTACTATATAAAGTGCTAATTCCAGCTAAGAAGATGTCATCAATTGTTGGATGTATATGAAGATAAACATTCATATCAGTAAATTTAAAATTTCCATCAGATTGAATCGCTATTTTTAATGTATCTTTTTCGATATGAACTATAACATATGGATGAATATTATTATCTGTATAAATATCTACTGTTTGTTCATTATCAATCCATGTAACATAACAATAAAATGGTCCATTGATAGATAGTTTTGAAAATGATTTTGTAATTAAATTACTTTTACGTGTAACATTTTTATCACCGATTACAGTTAGAGGACTTTGTTCGATGTTGATACTACAAACGATCGGTAATTCTACGAGAAGCAAATAAAACAAAGCAAAAATATCAAACATTTCAACTTGAATAATAATGTCACATTCGTTTTTAGAATTATTGAAAACGAAATTTTTTTTTGTTTCTCTTATATGTATCTATAATAGTCTATGACCATTAGAAACAGTTGTGACCCTTTATACTAATACAGTCATATGTAATAGACATATAAATTACAAGAAAAAGAGTATTTTTATACTTTCAGAAAATAAGAGCAGATGTTTCTATTGATTATTATCTACATTCATTTATATCATTCACAATAAATTATCAAACTATAATTCAAACATGATTCATATTATAGGTTAGTTTTGGCAGTAAATCGTTCTGTTTTTCTTGCACAATAAAATATATTTTCAAAATTGACAAAAGCAATAATTATTTTTTGGACTTTTTCCCCTCTTTCTTTTTTTTTTCTTTTACATAAAGTGAAATATAAAATGATCTATCTTTTATTTTTAAAACAACCAAAAAAAAAAAAAAAGAAAACCAAATTATCAATCAAAATAATCAGCAATATCAATATTTGGATCAAGTAGAGTTTCACCATAAGCACTGACATCGATTTGATTTAATATTAAATTTTCAAATGTTTCTTCAAGTTCAGTATCACCAATAAAAACACAACCATGTACTCGTCCATCTTTTAATGTTATTCGAATATATTCTTCACCTAATCAAAAAAAGAAAAGAACAAAAGACAAAAACAAACATGTTATTGTATTAACCATAAGAGGATAAAATCTACCTGGAGTCATTCGAATAAGATTGTCATATTTTTTCATATCATTCTCATGAAATTTACCAAGTAAAACAACTTTCATATTAAAAAATTTTGTTGTATGAGCAAAAAGTTCAAAACAAAAATCCATTGCTAATGAATCCTGTTCATTACGTGCATATGCTAACATACATTTACCAGCATAGTATCCCATTTGACGAGCTTGCGACCACAGACGCATCTAATTGATAAAATTTATGATTATTCAAATAAGAAAATATTGACATACTTGAAACCAATGTTCTGCTAATGTCCAACCAGCTGTGCAGACATCACCACAAGCAAAAATATTCTTTATCGATGTACGCATTGTTTCATCAACTAATAAACCACCATCAGTACCCAATTTAAACTAAATTTTATATTAAAAAAGAAAATCTATCAAATTAATTAAAATTTTCTTTACATCTGCTGATCGAAGACAAAGTTCAACATTAGGTGTTACACCAATAGCACTCACAACAAAATCACAACCAAAAATTTTACCATTAGTTAATTCAACATATACTGGCCATTGAGTTTCTTCTACATACGAGATTAAAAATGGAAAAATATTTAAAAAAATTCTTTTTTACCTTGAGATGACTGAAATTTTTCAATAGTTAAATTTTGTTGTTGATATTGTTCAGGTGTAAAAATATTTTTGACTTCAACTTGATATTCAATATGAACTTGTCGAGGTTGCTAGAAAAAATAAACAAACAAACAAACTAAATTTTAAAAAGATTTGTTCAAGACACTATTATTTACTTACAGAAGATGCACCTTTCATTGATCTATTTGCTGTCCAATCAGGACCTAAAGCTCCACCACATATATTTGATGATGATGTTTGACTATTTGTAGGATCTAATGATTGATTTGTAATTTCATATTTTTGTCTTTTTTCATTTAATTTTTGTTTTTCTTTAACCATTTGAATTCGATCAAGAAAAAATCGAGCTGCAGCTTCATCAAAAAATGTTGTTGAAATATGTTCATCTTTAATTGCCCATATCACTGAACAATGTTCAACTTCATATCTAATTATTAATAATATAATTGAATGAACTTTTTTTTTCCTGTGTTATCTTTACATACACAAGTTCAGTTGCAATACCACCATTACCAACAATAACAATTTGTTTAGCTGATGCTAATTTTTTTTGAAATGATTGAACAGTTTCTGTATCACGAATACCGAGTACATAAGGATTAGTATTGGAAAGTAACTAATTATTTAATAGATAAATAATGATATAATTTTGTAAATGAAAAGGATTTTCACCCTTAGTTTACTTTGGGTCGTGCACCAGTACAAATACAAAGTTGATCATAATGAATTTGTATATTATCAGAACAGAGAATTATCTAATCAGACAATAAAAATTATCAGAAAAGAAAAAAAAAACAAGACGTTTTTTCTTTACCTGTTTATCAGTGTCTAATCGTTCAACAATTTTATTTCGTATGATTAAATTTGAAAATCGTTCAGCCAAATAATGAAAAGGCTTTTCTTCAATATCAAATTCTTCTAAAAATTTGCTTACCTAAATAAAATCATATAAAATTATTTATAAATATAAACATTACTTTAACATAATTTGTAATTGCTTTAATCAATGGTGTTCCTGTCAGAAGTAGAATTCGAGCAGTAGGATCAAACGTAGCAATCTATTATTTAAAAAAAAAACAAGTATTAGTACAATCCTTGCAGAATAAAAATGTGAACAGCGATATAGCTATTGTTGTTAATCACAGGAAGATTGTTTTATCGGAACAATTTTCTTCATTATCCTGTTTTATCTAATCTTTCAGAAATGCTATTAAGAATTATAACGAGATGTTATTGATATATGATCTTTGATGGTATATCAATAACATCTGTTACAATCTATGACGCAGCAGGGATGAGTTAGTGGCGGATCTAGGACTTCCGTTATGGGGATGATTTGGTAGAGAAGGAGAGCAACCATAATCATAAAACGTGTTTGAAGCTTATTTTTAAGCCTTTTCTGCTGGAAAAATCAAGACTAATCTTTTGGAAGGACGCAATCGATTCTACTCAAAATCCGCTACAGAAACGAGTGTTGCAAAGGTATCTGTAATGGTCTTGGAGGAGACTAATATGCATATTTCTACTCTATATACTTCAGCACTCCTTTTTCGGTCGTGTTTTACAAAAAGAAATCAAATGATAGAAAAATATTTAATAAACTTACACTTTCTACACAAGTCACACCAGATATACCACCACCAATAACAACAAACTGATAATTTTCCATCTAAAAATGTTGTAATAATATGGATATTAATGTTCGACATCTACTATTTTATATTTAATAATCCTCAATGAATCAACGACATACAACGGACAGGGAGGAAGACAATATATGGAATGGATCAACCGACTACACAAGGATAATTAAAACTCACTATGGGAAAAAAAACAATACTCAGACACACAGTGTTCATGAAAATCTATTGGATTTAAAGGCCTTTGTTGAAATAAACACGATCGGTTTCTTTCATTCCATCACGTAATAATTTTTCTCGAAGTTTGTCATCCAATTTAGCCACAGGTGCTGAACTCTTTTGTGGAAATAAAGCACAACACATTGGTGTTGTAAATGTTAAAAAGACACCACATAGAGCAATTTGTATAGGACTATTAAGCCATGGACGAGCACGCATAAAAGGTTTTAGTTCAAGTCTATGCATAATGATTGGTGGAATAATCATACCTAGAATGAAAATTAAAAGATATTCAATATAAATAATATAGATTTAAATATATACCCGGTACAGCCATGCCAATACGTGAAAGAACTACTTGGGCAATAGCTTTCTTTGCTGCATATGATGATTCTAATTTCATGAACGCAAAATTATATTAAAAATAGATTAAACTTTTGCTTTTTGTTTTTCTTTTTACTTACCTCCAATACGATTTCCATCTTTATCAAATACAGCAATACCATCACGAATTTCGTTCCATCGCATAAATGGTAAATTGACACAGTTAGCACCAGCTACAGCTGCAAATGGTACGAATCGAGACACAATTGATGGTAATGTCGATACGGCAGCTGATAGAAGAATTAATTATATAAATGAAATTTTTGTTCACAAAAAAATTCCGTTTACCTTTAAGACCAAGTGCTGTAGCTGTTGCAGCCTAAAAAATTGAATATTAATGTATAGATCATTATAAAATTATATCAAAATAAAAGTTGCAAGATTCTTTTTTTTCTTGAGAGCTGAAATGAAATAATAGGAATTTACTATTAGCTTATTAGATATATTAGTATCATCACTGTTAGAAGCCTTTAACTGAAATAATCAAGTACTATTATACGATCAAATGAAGTACAAACATGATAGAAATTTGTAGATGTATCATCGCTTGACACTCATCAAGCATTTTTCTTATTAAAAAAATTTAACAAATTCTAAATATATTCTACTAATAAAAAAATTAAAAGTATAACTTACTGTAGTTGCAACAGCATAACTTTTCATTAAATCAGTATTTGAAATTGGTTTATCACCACTTCGATTCGTATAATTAACAATACTATTAAACGATTGATTGACAAATTGCCAGAAAACAATAGCTGGTGACGTTTTATAGAACTAGAAAGAACATATCAAAGATTATCATTTTGAAATTCACATGATTATTTATTTTTACTGTTAACATAAAACCAGTAATTAACATGTTACATGGAACTATGATGAAGAATAAGAAGAAGAAGAAGAAAGTTATTTAGGAAAGACATATAAATAAATATTTTTTAAAATAAAAACCTTGTGCTGACATTCGACCAAGAATAAACATTTTTTCTTTTGTTTCCGGATGAAATGCACTATCATATAAATATTTTGCATTCCATACAGTATCAAGAGTGAGATTAGGTCGTGTAGTAATTCCATGACGATAATCTTCAACAATTTGTTTTGCTAGTAAAGTAAAATATACCAAAGAAAAGTATATTTAAATTATTATTCTTCGTTAATTTTTACCTTCGTTTAATTGATGATCAGTAGCCAAGAGATTTAATGGATTTGTTGTAAGAAAAAAATGTTTTGCTAATTAATTAGAAAATGAAAATAGAAATAAATATAATATAATAAATAAAAACAAACCTCGACCCGAATATGTTTCTTGATCATATCGAGGATTTTCAATATTTATTTTCGCATCATGTACGATTTCTGACATGATTGTTAGTATTTAAATGTTTGGCTAGAATAATCTATAAATACAAATTTTAACTCATACAATGAGAAAAATTTTCGTCACAGGTTTGTGTTTTTGAATGTAATTTTCTTCTCTCTCGTTTAACACAGAAAAAAAATAATATAATATGAATAACAAATAACAAAAAAAGAAATTATTGTAACGATGAAATACGTTGTTTTTTAGCCAATGGTTCATCTCCATGACCAAGCGATTGTTTATCGATTGTTGCTTTTGATTCAATATCACTTTCATCAGCTGAATCAGGTGATGAATCATCTGATGCTGATGAACTACTTGATGATGATGTATCCGAACGAGGACCTGTATCTGCAGTAACATCAATTTTTTCAGTTAATCGTGCTAAATCTGGTCGACGACGTTTAAGACATTCGAGAAATTTTTTCGACATTTTTGGTCGACTATGTATTACTCGTGTCCATACTGTAGGAAAATTAACTGATGAACAAAAATTTTGTGTCACGGCAATAGTTAGATCCAAATTAAGTACGACATGCCAATAACCGCCTATAATAGAACAAAAAAAGAATCTTTTTTTTTTTTGAATGACTTTGATGCTAATGCACTATCTAGCGCGGGAGGGGGTATCCTTTCTAAAGATCGTATTGGCCTTCCTACAGTCTGTGATTATTGTATCATGTACTATGCATCTGTACTACGAAAAAAATTGTTGTTTAATATCGTGAACATTTAAATTGCTTCTTCACAAGAGAAAAACTTCGATAAAACATTGTTTGATATGATTTTGGATTTTAAATTGAAAAAATTGATTTGGAATAATCTAGTGCCACTTACTCAGCTGCTTGTTTTTAATACTATGTGAGAACTATATTCTTGAGATAACTTGTCACACACAGGACTTACTCTATTTTCAATTTCATCATAAGATAAAATGAAGGCGTGACATGAACATTATTATATCCGTAGGGGATTAGTTTATTTATAGAAATTTAAAATTTATGAAGTAATGAATGTATTTAGAAAAAAGAAAACGACTGTTGAAAAATCCATGCTAATAACCTTTTTTTTTATTGGCAGTTTTATAATCGAAACAGAATCGGATTCAGTCATAATAAATAACATAAGCCTCTAAGAAGTATTCTAAGTTATAAAATATTCGCTAATTTTCTAAATTTTAATTAACGGTGTTATTGTTTCCTCATATAAAAAGTTGATAATATAAAAAAAACAATTATTACATAAAAAAGCAGAAATATTTTGTATTCAACTAATTCTACGTTTAGTTTTTTTTTTCTTTTACGTATTCTATATCAATAGATATCATCAAAAACTAACGAGGGAACCTCTCCAGGTGTAAAATTACTTTTCGACCGAGACGACATGTATTCGATGAGTACTAGCGATTCATAGAAAGATCTAGAATAGTTTAGTTTTGTCGAGCTTTCGTTTTCGAGATATCGAAATTTTACTGGATTTTTCAATATATAGATGTCATCATATGAAATATTCGACTTTCAACTTCAAAAATATTGCAAGAACAAAATTCTTAATGAGATTAGTTGATTGTGCAAGTTTTAGCTTTTCTAGTGCAAATATAAATATATGAAAAAAATTTACTTTTAAACATTTTGTTTGTACAAAGTTGGAAGTCAAAACTCGAAAGTTGATTTTTTCAAATGACCACAGGCTTTTGTTGAAAAATCCAGTGAAATCTCAATACTTCAAGAACAAAGGTCCGGAAAATCAGACCATTCTAGATATTTCTTTAAATCATTAAATAAACATTGTCTCAATTGAAAAACAATATGATACCTAGAATGGTTCTCAAGTAAATAAATTTCGAATGATAAGAGTGTCATAATACATATATGGTTAATAGTATGTCTACTCTACAATTAATTACTACTGCATACATGCTAATCATATTACAATTTATTTTCTTATTCATTCTTTATTTAAAATACAACAGTTAGAACGAACGATCACTCTATTGTTCATTCATCATAATAATATAAAACATGCCAAAAATGATAATATATGCATCTAAGATCTATTCAGTAACGTTAGTAAACTATTGTCTTATAATCAAATTTTTCATATGACATTGATTTACAAAATACAAAAAGAAGAAAAAAAATAAGACAAATATAACAAATTATTTTTACTTACCAGGTACGAACATAACTTCACCAGGATGTTGTATAGTTTCAATACAAGCATATTCTTTTGGCCATGTACTAAGTTGTGTTCTTGGATAGATAACTTTAAACCATGTAATGCCTTCATCTTTACTTTTGGATGAATCAGCTGATGTTGGTTTAAGTAAATGACGTGGTGTTGATGGTGGAAATATACACCAACGTTTATGTCCTGATATAAGTGCATTCCATGCACTTGTACCCAATGGATCAATCTGTAATATTTATAGACAATTTCATTTGTCATTTGATGGTTAACTTGATTTGAATAGTTACGATGAGAAGAGATAAACTCTCTATTAAACTTACATGTATGCCGGTTCCAGAACGTTGTGGTCCAATACACCACCAACGATATGGTGGTCTACGATGTTCTCCAACAAGACGAAGTAAATCTTCAGAAAAATAATCTGGTACATCATAATCATCTAGAAGACGTCTCTTTTTTGGATGTTCACCAAAACTTGATTCAAATAAATATAATGGTGAATCATCATGATTATTTAATGCATAATCAAGAAAATATTTCATTTTTAATTTAACTGATCGTCCATCATCATCTTCACCTACTTTAAATCTTTGATTACGATATTTTTTACCTAATTTTTCAACAGTCCATTTATCAAGTGCTGGCCAATCATCAATAAAATGTTGAATTATAACTGGTTTAGCTGGACGTTCATATTTTTCAATAAAATCTTCACGTGTTATATTTCTTGCATCAACTCGTTCTAATTGATCTTTATTACATGTTAAAACATTTCGATCATAATAATAATTATTTTGTTGCCATTCATCTAATTGAAGTTCACTACGTGCTTTTAAACGAACATTAGAAATACGTTTTAATGTTCGAGGATTCATATTGATCTGAAAAAATAAAAAAAGAAAACAAAAAGCGAAAAACAAAAGGAAACAAATCTGTATTTAAGAGCGCTCGAAAAGATTTTCAAGTAAAATTCCAACAACAAAAACATTTAAACTGTTACCAAGTAATGAATATGCTTGACGAATTGTAATTTGTTCAGGAAAATGATAATTTAATGGAAAACAATGTAAATTAGCTATTTCTTTTGGTGTAAAATATCGAATATGATTTGATAATGTTCGAAATAATGAACCTGTACCTTCAAAATATTTTCCATAAGATTTTGTAAAACAAAATGAACGTTTTGCATGACATGTAATTATATCACAAACATGTAAACCTCGTTTTAATTGTTTATCATCTAATTCAAAATTAGAATTTTCATTTGTAATTAAAAAATCATTGATTAACATTGATTGATTAGAATCAATAAGTATTTCAGATGAATGACTACATTTATCAGTTATTTGATCATTTTCATGAAAAGAATTTTCATCAAGAGAAAGTTCTTTTGATGGAAATTGTTGACGAATTTTTTTATATAATCTTTCAAAATTTGATATTCGAGTTTGTATTGATGATGAAGATATATCAATTGGTTTTTCTTGTTGTTTAGCAATAAGATAATAACGAAGACGTGAATTAGGTATACCAAATTGTATTGGTGAAAGAAGATATTGTTGATAATTATAATTATGTGATTCAAGTGTATTTAATAATAATTGATGTGCTTGAGAATATTCAAAACCAGAAACATTTTCAAGAAGAATATATTTTGGTTTTGATTGTAATTGAGGAAGTATTGTTTTCATTAAATAAACAAAACCATTTGTACGACGATCATTTAAATCTTCTTGTTTACCTTGACGAGTAAATGGTTGACATGGAGGAGACATCAACCAAATATCTGCATGCCATTTTTCCCATTGATTTAAAGGTATACCTTCAATTGTACGATTCATTATTGGAGCATCAGGAAAATTTGATGAATAAACTAGATTTGCTGTTGGATTTATATCAATAGCAGCAATAATTTCATAGTTGAGATCAACTAAATCAAGAGCACAGTGCATACCACCAATACCACTAAATAATTCAAGTACACGTAACATGATTCTTGTTGCCTTTTTTTTTTACTTATCTGCAAGAAAATTTTTATATATATGATATGTTATTTAGAATGATTAAAATCAAAATGATTTATTTTTGTTTTAATATATTCCATTGTGCAAAATAAATAGAACAATTTTTTTTTTTTTGTTCATCGATTATGTCTCCAGATTCTGATTGTTTCATTTCGTTTTTATTGTTCAGATATATGTCAAACTTTTTTTGATCTACGTTCAGATTTTCAGTGGTAAACATACATAATTAGTTTTAAAAACCTATAACTTTGTATTATGAACTTCTATGTGTCTTTAACATCGAAAATTACAAATTGAAATGGATTATAACAATGTTTTGCATTGTCAACAAGTTTCTTTTTTTGGTTGGTAGTTTTCATCACAGAATCCTTAGAACAACGTTAAAAATTGCATAATACATTTCATTCCGTACTTTTTGATGTTAACAAAAACAAAGGAAAAAATATGGTGAAGAAAAACAACAATTTTTGTTATAAATGACACCAGCGTCTTTTCAGTTAATTATACATGCTTATCACTTGTAACTTTCATCATAGAAAGAGTAATATGACATATATCTAAGCGATGAAAATGCTTTTCAAATAATAAGAATCTAAAGGTACAATTGACAAAAACAAATAGATGCTCGAAAATCGTTTGCACAGGTAGATGTAAACAGAGAAAGAAATATTCTATATTCGATTACAAAAAAAAAAAAGAACTAACAAAGAAAATGACGCATATCTTCAATCATATAGTGTTAGAAATATATTAACGTGGCAATAAATATTTTACTGTTTATAAACATAC